AGCATCATCATCATCAGCATCATCATCGTCATCCCCCTCCCCCTCCCCCTCCCTTCCCCATCTTCTCCACATATTCCTCCTCCTCTGCGTCCTCCTCCTCCTCCACCTACTCCTCTTCCTCCTCCTCCTCCTCCTCCTCCTCCTCCTGCTCCTCCCCCACCTCCTCCCTCCTCCTCATCATCCTCCTTCTCCTCCTTCTCCGCCTCCTCCGCCTCCTCAGCCTCCTCCTCCGTCCGTCCTCCGTCCTCCGTCCTCCGTCCTCCGACTTCCGTCCTCCCTCTTCCCTCCTCCGTCCTCCTCCTCCCTCCTCCCCTCCTTCCCCCCTTCCTCCTCCCCCCTTCCCTCCTACTCCTCCCTCCCACCCCTCCTTCCTTCCCTCCCTCCTACCTCCTCCTCCTCCCTCCTGCCTCCTCCCTCCTCCTCCTCTCCCTCCTCCCTCCTACCCTCCTCCCTTATCCCTCCGCTCCTCCCCTCCTCCCGCTCCCTCCTCCCTCCTCCCTCCACTCCTCCCTGCCTCCCTGCTCCTGCTCCCTGCTCCCTGCTCCTCCTCCCTCTCCCTCCTCCCGCCCTGCCCCCCTCTTCTCCTCCTCCTTCCTCCCCTCCTCCTCCGCCCCTCTCCCTCCTCCCTCCTCCCTCCTCCCTGCTCCCTGCTCCCTCCTCCTCCTCCTCCTCCCTCCTCCCTCCTCCTCCTCCCTCCTCCCCCTCCCCCCTCCCTCCCTCCCTCCTCCCTCCTCCCTCCTCCTCCCTCCTCCTCCCTTCTCCCTCCTCCTTCTCTTCCTCCCTCCCTCCTCCTTCTCCCTCCTTCCTCGTTCATCCCTCCTCCCGTCCTCCTCCCTCCCCCCATCCTCCTTCTCCTCCTTCCTCCTTCTCATCCTCCTCCGCCTCATCCTCCTCCTTCCTCCTCCCTCCTCCCCTCCTCCTCCTCCTCATCCTCCTCCGCCTCCTCCGCCTCCTTCCTCCTCCTCCCCCTCCCCTGGTCTCCTCCGACGTCCTGCGCGAGGGGAAGGCGGCCGCGGGTCGCGAGGAGGAACGCGGCCGGAGGCCCGCGGCCCCGAGGCCTGTACTTCGTGATCCGCAGCGCCAGCTCCGCCACCCAGTCGTCCCTCACCTTGCCGAGCAGAGCGGGGTCGAATCGCGAAATGAGACCAGATCGGCAACGGAAGGGCGCGCCAGCGAATCGTTCAGAATCGAATCGAGATCGGATCGCCGCGCCTTGCTCAGGCTGGCCTCGATCGATGCCAATGAGCCGACACAAATCGAACAGAATCGAAATTTCGCGGCCCTGGCCGGCGAATCGCATCGCATCGAATGGGAACGTGGGCGGGCGGGGCCCTCACAGCCTCGAGGCGTGCAGAGCTCACAACAAGATGTCGTTTCGCTCCCTTCGACCTCCACACGGGGGCCCTCGCCGTGCCCCGGGGCCGTCAACAGGAACAACGCAGGATGCAACGGCGGTTCCGGACAATGGGTCGAGGCCTTCGGGGAGCCAGGTTGTGCGGCAAAAACACATGACGTGGGATGTCTGGGAGGGGGGTGGCAAGGTTGCGGATGCGAAAGAGGATGGTACATATATATGTTTATATATGTATATAATTATATACATATATATATATAGATGCACACCTCTATATTTGCATACGCATCATACATACACGCATACATACATGCATGCATGCATGCATGCATACAAGCATACCTACATACACACATCCATACCTACATATATACATGCATACATGCATGCATTCATGTATGCATCCATACATCAATGTATACATGCATATATGCATGCATGCATACACACATGCATGCACACATGCAGACACACATGCATGCATGCATGCATGCAGACATACATACATACATTCAAGCACACACATACATACATACATACATACATACATACATACATACATACATACATACATATATACATACATGCATACATACACACACACATACATACATACATACATACATGCATGCATGCATGCATGCATGCATGCATACAAACTTACATGCATACATACATACATACATACATACATACGTAAGTAAATGCATGCATGCATACATACATACACACATACGTATATGCATGCAAACATGCACACGCAAACATACATACATACCTACATGCAGACATACATACATGCCTACATACAGACATACACACATACATGTATGCATGCATGCATACATACATAGTTGTATGTATGCACACGTATATACCAATCAAACTCGAGAGAACGGCCCCTTCGATAATGGCATGTTCCAACGAAGACGGCACAGCCCATGACACACGAGCATGACACATTTAAAAGCACAGGCACGAAGTGTCAGAAAATAGGCGCCGAAACTGGAGCAATCAGAACAACGCAGCGCATGACGTACCTCACCGTGCGCGAAGACATGGGAACGAAGTATACAAGAGCGAGGGGGGAATGAGGGATAGAAGGACAGAGGGAGAGGGAGATAGAGAGAGAACACATAACATATATATATATATAGCGAAAGAGAAGGAGAGCGAGAGCGAGAGAGAGAGAGAGAGAGAGACAGAGAGGGAGAGAGAAACAACAAACAACATATCAAGAGAGAGAAAGAGAGAGAGCGAGAGAGAGACAGACCGAGCAAGGAAGAAAGTGAGAGAGAGAGAGAGAGAGAGAAAAAAAAACAACAACAACGCAAACTTGTTTATAGGAATAGCACCACAAGAAATAGCACAAACAACAAACACAAATAACGAGAGAGCGAGAGAGAGAGAGAGAGCGCGAGCGATGCAGAAACACGAACGCGACTCGGCGCCGCGGCAGGGGCAGGAGGGGAGAACACACGAGGATAAGAAGCAGGAGGGTGGAGACGACGGGGACAGGACGAGAGCGATGCTACCTCAAGGAACGCCAAACAATGAACAAAGGGGCTTCTCTGGCCACGGCGAACCTCGGCCGCGAATAGGCCCGCCCACCCAGATTGAGGAACGGCCCGAGCACCAAAAACCCCCTGCCGAGAGTCCATGCTGGTCCTATCATTTCAGCGTCTTGACTATAGGCGGGGTGCGCAAGGAGGGGGCGGAACAACGAGGGAGGTGTGGAGCAATCTGACGAGGATAACGAGGAAAAGGAGGAAAACGAAGGCGAAGTGACAGAGGAAACCGGCTGGAGTGGGAGGGATAGGGACGGACGGGAACGGGAATGGACCAGGGAGCCTGCAAAAAGAGGACCACGACGAGGGCGAAGACAAAGGACAGGACAGAGGAGGGGGTTCGGTGTGGACGACGCGGGCGAAGATAGGGGACCACGACAAGGATCCCGAGGAAAGACGCACCTCCAGGAAACCGAGCTTCTGCAGGGCCACCGCCAGCTGGTCCTTGTGGATTTCGCGGTCGTCCTCCGGGGAGGACCCCGGGGGCGCCGGCCTGGGAGGCCGGAGACCTCAGGCACACCCAGTTGCCGCCCGACCGGCGCCCGCGGTGGCGCGGCGAGGAAGAGGTTTGCGGTGAGCGTGCAGGAGGAGGAGGAGGAGGAGGAGGAGGAGGAGGAGGGGGAGGAGGAGGAGGAGGAGGAGGAGGAGGAGGAGGAGGAGGAGGAGGAGGAGGAGGAGGAGGAGGATCGATCGATCGAGCTGTCGGGCCGATGTCTGGGTGACTGACGCTCTGGCTAGCACTGAATAGCTGCGTGTTCTAAGCACGGCCTAGCTGTGTTCTCTGAATTAAACTGGTAGAGCTGACGTCAGTGGACGCTCGGGCCTGACCTGCACCGACCTCCCAAGCGCAGGGGTCTGCGGGCAGGGTAGCACCCGCACTCACGGAGGACGCTCTCTCTGCTGCTGCTGGCTTGGTTGGCTCCGCTTACCCTTACCTCTTCCCTTACGCTTAGGTTCGGGATGGGGGGGAGGTCGGTTCATCAGTAAATAATTAGGAAAACGTGGGCCTTCGAACTGGAAGATTTCAGGCACAGCATTCTGAGGGGGAGGCGGAGGGGGACGTCCAGACCTGACCAATTCACGGAATCTGGCGCTGGCCTCAAAAACCCGTGGGATGGCCTGGGGGAGCTGCGGGGGGAGGACTGGGCAAATTCGAACACTGTTTTCCTCCTCATTATCCCTCAGGCGTGGATGTTGAGCAGTCGCATCCACTCGGTACATATCCTCCACGGCAGCGCTGCTGAAGGTCACTTCGATCGTGCCGACATCGATCACCCGTTCACCAGGCGGCCGAGCTCCCTCCCCAGCGCGCCCCGTGGAGACGATCCGATCTTGCGCGTGGCCCCTTCCTTCTTGAGCTGTTTCACGAGCGCCGTGCACAGCTGGTGGTAGTTCTCGCCGAACTTGAACTGGAAGCGACACTTCTCGACCCCGTTGCCTTCCATGCCCTTGTTGCGCCTGACTCGGAATACGGGCGCGATGTCTGCGAGAGACTCCGTGTCGTTCTTCAGCACCACATTATGATATTGCTGCGTTATCTCTGTGAGCTGCGAGCTCTCGTCCAGCTGCTTGCCCAGGTAGGCGCGCGTCTCCGTCCACACCTTCACGCGCGGGCTGCCTAGGCTCCCTGTGTCGACCTGTTCTCCGCCGCGTTGTAGTTCTTGCCTGCTCCGAGGGCCGTGGAAGCGATACCTGCCGATGCTGCGATTTCCCATGTCTGGAGTAGCGCCGCCGCCATCTCTGCCTGCTCGCGTGCCACCGTGAGAGTCAGCCGCGCCGCGAGCTCCGCGTTCTGTTGCCGGTTGCCGCCTCCGCCCGCTGGCCCTCGCTAGTGGATGGGTGGACACCGGCGGCTGCGATCCTCGCGTCGCGCTGCGCCCCCTCCTGGAGACGGCCCTGGCGCCTCGCCCGCAGGCCTCTGGTCGAACACTGGCATGGCAGGCACCGTGGGGCTGTCACAGCAGCTTCCGAGGTAAATGCGTACGTAGATGCCGAAAGTGCGAACCTCTGTCGAGAGAGAAATGACTGCAGAGCGGACATTGAGGGGAGTAAGCTGCAGGGGCGTGTTGGTTCTCTGTTCTGTCTCTATTGCAACCTCCTTTGGTCATACTGCCCGCGAGATGTTACCATGCCGTTCCTTTGCTTGTGCATACTTGCTGGCAATTGGTGCACTCGTTGTTTGACGTAAGTACTGCTGCTAGATTGCGCACATTATGAGCTCGAATGATATGGCTATGTAGTGCTTTCTTGCTTGCAGCAAAAAGACCACATCCTTCATCGCACTCTTCATCTCCATGTTTGAGTTCGCATTTCCAGGGTTTCTGTTCGTCCAGGGCTAGCTCTTCGCGCTGTACATCTTGCCCGGTGTAGCCAGGCGGGGAACCGCCACTCCAAGTTTCGCCGCCCGAACTTCCCGAACATCTAAGATATATAGCTGTTCTCCGAAATCTAGCGTGAATAATATGTCGATCGTGGCGCGCTCGCTCTCGCCTAGCGCGTTGTAGTAGCACCCCGAGACCCCGCAAGCATATCTGACGTCCTCCAAGAACCTCTGAGCCCAGGGATTCGCGTCGGTCCTGAGTTGGTGCTCGTCGTCTTCGTTTGTCTCGAACGCGATCCTTCCAAACAGTGCGACCATCAATTGTCTGCGATTACTAGGAAAGTGGATGGTGTTGTTGAACCCACCCGAGGCGGCGCTCCAGTGCTTCCTCCGCTGGCGGCAGTATTTGCCAGTAGCGAAAGACCTCCAGCGCGCTAAGGCCCCGCGCGCTGCCGTCTTCTCGGCGACGAGCGGGGCCGCCTCTCATGGCCCGACGTAGTAGAGCACCCATGGCGCTCTGCAGCTGCTGGTACTCGTTGGGCGCCGGTATGAAGCACTCGGTGCACGATAGACCCGTGTTGATCACTCTGCAGGTGAGTACCGCTCTCTTCCACCTGTAGGGCATGTGAGCTTTAGTCCAGAAGCCCCCGCATTCGTTGTAGCTCTTCATCATGGCCGTGATCCGCTTGTTGGGTTCTGCTCCGTAGTTCTGCGTGGAGCTGACCTGTGGTCCAAGATAGCGCGCGCGAGGTACAACCTTGCCTGGTAGCTTGCAATCGGTCCTGGTCTTCACGTTGCTGCGCGCCTTTGTCGTACCGTGGCCCTGGAAGTTGACGATGTTCCCCTGCTTGTCCGCGCCCTGGCGCATGCCAATCTCGGTGGGCCTCCGATTGGGTGCGTCGTCGGCTTTGCGTGCCTGCGCCGCCAGGTCTGCGGCGTCCGCGCGCTTCTCGCCTAGGATAAGCTTGCGAAGGTCGTCTTCATACTTAGCCAGCCCCAAGCAAACCGCATATAGAAATATCTCGCAGCTGCCAAACAACAGGTCGTCATTCGTGAGCTCCTTGTTACAGTCTTTGGTCCAGTCCTTGATGCATGGCGACAAGCTTGCGACGAAGTTGCTGACCATGTAAGGGTCGCCGATGAGCCCTCCGCAGCGCGGTTTAGTGCAACTCCGTCCTCTTGATCTCGGCAGGGGGTGACGAATGGGGCTCGACGGTACCGCTGCGCCCCGAGGTCGATAGAATCAGCTGGCATGATCTTGCTGTTCGCCTCGTCCATTGTCGTCCATGCACAGCTCGCGAAGGCGTTGGACATGTCCTTCATGGTCGCGGCGTAGTTGTAGTCTGCCCTGCGTGCTCTGTATTCTACCACCGCCATGGCGAGAATAGCTCCTTCGCGACGTCGTCCTCTGATGAAGCCGTAGTGCTGGTCCGTGTGCGTCTGGGCTTTCTGCCGGGCCATGCAAGACGAGTAAAATGCTTTGCCAATTGCGTCCGCGATGTGATATATCCGTTTTCCTGCTGGGCCCGTTTTGTTTTATTCCTCACTGCTGTCGCCGCGCTCTGGCGCCACCGTACTGGAGTAGCGTTCTTTATTGTGATGGCCGCCAGTGCCGCTCGAAATAATTCCTGGACGCCTTCAGGTTGAGGAAGAGGCCGCAGTGCCCCCAGTCCTTGGCGCTGTTGCCGGGTTGGGTCATCTTTGTGGCATAGTAGTATCCGCCATAGTTCGCTGGGGGCCGCTGTCGGCGGCGCTGCCCGTCGTAGCTTAGCCTTCTTCAACCGCATGGCGATGCCCTGCACGTCTTGCTCCACCAGCTCCCCTAAGTCGTTGTCATAGTAGTCCATCTCGTCGGCGCCGATTGGGATCTGCTCGACTTCGTCTCGATTCTGTTCCGTGCCTTCCATGCCTCCTGATCCGCCTGGTAGTTGCCAAAATTCGACCCATTCTTGCTTGGTGGGGTTGGCTGCGACCATCGCCCAGTAGTCGCGCTTCCTTGGTCCGTATCTCCCCCCCGCAATCAGTCTCGACAGTCGTCCTACTCGGGCGGGGCCGCGGCTCTCCCAAGCCTCGCAAAGCTCCCCCCACCCTGGCGCCCGTCTTCCGCTGGTACTCGAGTTTGCGCCGGGTGGCGCAACATCGCTGTGATGCGTTCGAGCTCCGTCTCGATGTTGCCCAGTCGAACGCGTCGTGGATCTGGCTCTGCTTCTGGTTCGTGCTGTTGGAGAGGCTGCGCGTAGCAGTAGGGGTTGTTGCAAGAGAGACCATTTGTTGTACATTCATGGTCTTCTCGCGGTGCTGGTATGTAGTCTACTTTCGCGGTGTCCAACTTGTTCGTGTCGTTGATCGTGATGAGTAAGCTGTCTCCATCTCGTCTGAGCTGCTCTCGAAGGCCACGTCTCTTTCTGAGTAGCTCCATCCCTTGGTCTCGTTGTATATGGTACTCCTCTGGCTTCTGTTGTTGCTGTCCGTAGTATGTCTGATCCGAGCCGATGATCATCTGATTCACGTCCATAAACAATTGGTCGATGCCTTTGCCGTTCGCGTCGTCGTTCTCGACCTTTCGCGTTAGTTTCTGAATAAACTCTTCTGCGCGTAGCCCTTTGCGTGTGGCGTTTGCCAGTTTGTTCTTGTCCCATGTCACTGCTTGTTGTCGGGGTCGTACTCGTTTGCGTAATGGGATCCGTACCGTGCGTTGAACTGGCACATGATATTTGTGTCGTCTGCTTCTGATGTGTTGCAACCGCGTGCCCATGCAAAGTAGGGGGCCCTGGGGGATGATGCTGTTGGCCAGCGACGTGGGCATCATGAGATAGTCCATACAGCTGGCCGTCGTTTCTCCAAAGAACGTGGGCCTCCAAACGCCCATGGTACTAGTAACAGTTAGTCTATGGCGTTCCGCGTGCTGTCGTGATTTGTGTCCCGCTCCGCCTGGCGGCTTCTCCTTTGCCCTGCCTATCCCAAGCGAGGCGCTCTCGGGGCTTTCGCTATTGCAGGTGATGCCGATGCCGTCATTGAGGTCGCCTGCTGTGAAGAGGTTGCCTTGGGGGCGCTTGGTTACAATTTCGTCCATCCACTTGAATAATCTAGCCACCGTCGCGAAGTACTGCTTGCGGTCTGCTGTCGATTTGGGTTGTGGCGGGCAGTAGTAGCTCACGAGCGTGAGCTGAGCGTCGTGCTGCTGTAGTTGAAGGGCCAGTCCACGTCCGCAAAGTTCCTCTGGAGGCTCCAGAACGCTGACCACCTGGGCTCCTCGTAGTTTGCCCTGGAGCGCGATCAGCATGCCCGTGCTGCGGTTGGTGGGTGCTCCCCTTCGCCATCCAGCGTCATAGACTCGAGCTCCCTGAGTTCGCCGCTGTTCAGGGTGAGGCTCTCGTCGCCATCGTTGTGGGCCAGCGAGAATGGTAACGTCGAAGTTGGAGGCCTCCTCGATGACTTCCTGCTGCCTGTCGGGTTTCGCAGAGAAGGGGGTTGAACAGCAGCAGCGCCAGCGACGCTGTCCATGCCGTTGCCGCCATGCGGGCCTCTGCCCAGTCAGCTCTTCCTCCACATGCTGTGGAATGGCGGTGTTTGTTCGCTTGCTGCCCTGACAATCTCTTGGGCCCAGATGGCAGCTGGAGGAGGAGGAGGAGGTGGGGGAGGAGGAGGAAGAGGGAGGAGGAGGAGGAGGGAAGGGGGGGATGGCGGGGGGGACGAGGAAGGAGGAGCGGGTGAGGACATGAGATGCTCGGATCTGGAATGGAGACCCTGGGCGACAGTCCTCGCAACCCGTCGCGAGAACGAGATCTAGGATTTCCAGGCGATGCCCGTCTTGTTGTAAACCTTGGGCCGCGGTCCCTGAGCAACGCGGCCCAAAACCCCCTGGCGGGTCGGGGAAGGGTGGGAGGCCTCCTGACCCAAACAACCACTGGCCCCTGCGCGTGCCACAACACGCGCGGAACGCAGAGATTGTGCCAGGCGAAGCTGCCCGGTCAACTTCTTGGCGCCTCTTTCCTGCTCTTCGCCGCGCGAGCACTGCTCGTCCGCGGGCGCGCCGCCAGGTCCGCGGGCGGCGTTCGGGAGAGAAGCGGCAGCCCCGCGCCGCAGATCTCTAACCAGTTGTCGGACGCCGTGGCCCTGGAAGCATGACGCACAAGTGGAACTGAAGCCCGTCCACATCGTCGGCGTCCTTCTAGCTAGCGTTGGCGATGACGTCGTGGCGACGAGGCGGAGCTCACAAGCACATTCACAATAACCTGTTTGACCGTCCTCAGAAAAGGACAGGTCCGATTTGAATGTTTTTGGGTATGCGCAGGACGTCACTCCGCTGGACCCCCCAAGAACTCACGGAAGACGACAGTTGCGCAGCTGTCGGCACCCAGGAGCTCACGAAAGTGCCAAGGAACGCGAGGTTTATTTTGAGTCGATATAGGATGTCATTTCGATGGACCTTTCAAGAGCTAACGAAAAGGGACGACCCTGCCGCATCTGGCAGCAATCACGAAGACGAGGCCGCCTGGCGAAAAACGTCACTCCGCTGACCTTTCGGGAACCCCCGAAAGTGGCGACAGTCCCGCAGGTGGCACCAGTCTGGCTTGGATCTGCGTAGGACGTCACTACGTCGCACCTCCCAGGGACCCTCAAACGTGGCGAAAGACGCGCGTTTGGGAGAGCCTACGACGAGGAGGCCGTTGGGGTGTTGGAAAGTCTCCCCGCTGGACCTCCCAGGAGCCCTCGAAAGCAGCGACGGTTGCGCAAGGGGCCACGCCCAGGGAGGCCAAGGCTCCTTGGGGTCTGCGCGTTGAAGTCGCTCCGCAGGACCTGCCCGGGAGCCCTTGCGTGGCGACTGTTGCTGAGGTGGCAGCGCCCAGGGAGGCCAGGTTTCGTCTGGAGCTGCGTAAGACGTCACTCCGCTAGGCCATCCTGGGAGACCTCGAAGCTGGCGGCAATGGCTCAGTTGGCAGCGCCCAGGGGGCCAGGACTCGTTTGGGTCTGCGAAAGGCGCTGCTCCGCTGGACCTTCCAGGAGCTCGCGAAGGTGGCGGGTTGCGGTTGCTCAGGTGACAGCGCCCAGGGAGTCGAGGTCACGTTTGAGTCTGCGTAAGACGTCACTCCGCTGGACCTTCCAGCACCCCTCAAAAGTAGCGATAGTCGCGCAGGTGGTATCGCCCAGGGATGCGAGACTTCGCTGGGTCTGCGTGACCCGTCACTTCGCAACATCACAGAGGATCCCTCGAAAACTGCGATCCTTGCGCTGATGGTATCGCCCAGGGAGTGTAGGCTTCGCTTTGTTTTGCGTAAGATGTCACACCGCTGGATCACCCAAGAGACCTCGAACGTTACGACCCCAGCGCATGTGGCATTCCCCAGGCATGCGAGGCCTCGCTTGGATCCGAGTAAGACGTCGCTCCGCTGGAACTGCCGGGAGCTCACGACAGTGGCAGTGGCGACGGTTTCGCAGGGGACAGCGACCAGCCAAGGAGGCGAGGACCCGCTTGGGCCCGCGCAAGACCTCACTCCGCTGACCCTCCCCGGACCTCGCGAGAGGGACGACGACTGCGCAGGTGTCAGCCGTCCGGGAGGCGAGAGCAGCGCAAGGAGGAGCAGGAGCCCGAGGAGAAGAGAGGCGGAAGGCGGGAGCAGCAATGCTATTCAAAACAAAGGTCCAACATCTAAACCCTAAACCCTAAACCCTAAACCCTAAACCCTAAACCCTAAACCCTAAACCCGAGAGGGCTTGGGACAACCGCGTCCTGGAAACACTCGAAGGTGGCCCTCCACGCGTTCGCCAGCTCGGAAGCTGGGCTGTCCCTGCTGATGCGGCGCGCGAGCCGCACCGGCACGTGCATGGAGATCTCGTGCGCGTAGCGCCGGTCGAACGCCTTGCCGATGGGGCGGCAGGGCGGGATGGGAGCCGAGGGGCAGGGCACACGCTAACTCGGGCGAGGGATCCGTGGATCGGGCCGCGGGACCGCCAGGGCCACGGATCGGGGAGAGTCGGCCTCCCCGAGACACGCAGCCGGTGCCGCCCGATGTGGCGAAGGCGGACCCGTCGCCAATCCACAGTGCACGAATCCAGGTCTGTGCTTCCTCGGCAGAGGGGAGGGTAAGGAGGTCAGGAGGGGAGGCCACGTGGAGGAGACCCCTGTGAGATTCCCGGCAGCCGCGGCGCGGCCATTCTTGCCTGCAGTCATCGTGCTGCCCTGGGGAGCGCCGAAGAGAAAACGAAAGAGCCGCCAATACGCCCCCCCCCGACCTGGACCTCAGCAACGGCCCGAAAACCAAAGCCCGTAGTGGAGCAACAAATCGCACATCACTTACCTCACAGGCCGCCCGTCGGGTAACCAGGAGGTTCGGATGGTTCCACGTCATCTGTTAATTGCATTGGACGCACTTCAACTCACGAGTAGACACACATCGGGACACCAAGTTGGAGCTTCATCAACCCATCGAGTTGTCCATCTGTACATATCTATATTATATATATGTGTATATATATGTATACATATATTTATATATACATACCTATATGCGTCTTTAGACCGTGTATCCGTATCTGTATATATCTAACTATCGTTGCAATCATCGGGACAACCATGGGGACAATCGTCGTGACAGATGGTATGTCGTTCTAGTCCAACCAGCCCTTTGGGCTAAGGTGGTCCAGCAATGTCTCTGGTCCTCTTGCAAAAACCCTCGTCCCTTCGGGGAGGGATGGCATCCCCCTCTCCTCCCGGAGGTGTTTTGAGGCGGGCCGCGATCGGTCGGAGCGTCCAAGACGGCCCAAGATGGCTCCGAGAGGGCCTCCGATGCTCCAAGATGGCCTTCAAAGCGGCTCAAGATAGCCGAAGATGGCTCAAGGCACCGTCCGCTTACCTCCAAGAGGCCTGACGAGAGCCACAGGACGGTTCCAAGTGATTTCGATCAATGGTGCTGGCCTTCTGGCCGTTTCGCAATTCAGATTGCCCCACGAATGAAAAGAGCCCAAAGGGGGGCCCAAGAACCCCGAACACGTCCACAAGAGCGCACGAGGTCGGCCCACAAGCGTCCCAAAAGCGCCCCAAGGCGAAAGTGTGATTGCCCCAGAAGGGGGGGGGGGAGGGGGGGGGGGGGGGCAAATGTCCCCCCCCCCCCCCCTTTTGACCGATGGCCTCCAAGTTGGCCCCTGTAGGGCTGTCAAGAAAGCCCCAAGAGGGACCCAAGAAAGCCCCAAGAGGGCCACAAGACCCTCCCAAAGAGCCCAAAGGGAACCCAGCATTCCCCAAAAGAGTCCCAAGAGGGCTCCAAGTGGCGAATTTTGGGGCCCTGTACCCGTCCGCGTGGTCCTCTTCCTCCTCCTCCTCTTCCTCCTCGTCCTCGTCCTCGTCTTCGTCCTTGCCCTCATCGTCTTCATTGTCCTGTTCCTCAGATTTTTCGTCGTCGTGGACGTTGTCGTCGTCGGTGTATCCTTCCTCCTACTCCTCCTCCCGCTCCTCCTCCTCCCTCTCCTCCTCCCCTCGCCCCCACGCGGGCCACAGGGATGGCTTGAAGAGGCCTTCCATGGCTACCCTCTTGCTCCCAGAGATCTCTATGTTCTCTCCAGTTGCCTGCTGTGTTTCAATCTATGTGTCTCTTCGACCCTTTTCCCAGCCAGCTCACATGGGTAGGATTTCTGAATGGGCTGGCAGGGATATGTTTTGGTGAACGGCCTCGCGAAGCGGGTCAACGGGCGTCCAACCTCTACCCGGGCCACGAGCAGGCAGCGGAAAAGCAAGACAGGCCCAGCAAACGGGCGGCAGCTCAGAAGGGCGAAGCGAACCGGTAGACCCATTCCCGGCGGCGTCCGAAAATCCTGGTGGCGACCAGCGGGTAGACGCAGCCAAAATCGCGCGGCGGCGCGACCAAATCACGTAGAGGTCGATCACTCGGTGTGAATCAATCAGACGGCAAGTCAGAGACGAACGAGACCGACAAACACCCCCAAATGACATCCGTGAAGTGGACGAACAAAAATGTCGAGACATCGTGTCAGCGCAAGGAGTGAAGAGGGGCAACCTCGTCACAGATAGGACTGCAAACGGCAGTAACTCTTGTTTGTACAGCAGTGGCACTTGTCGATAGCAGAGTCCCTGCAGGAGAAAGCAGCCGACGGGCGCACAGAGCCACACATGCCGAACCCGAAGTCCTTGCACCGTGGAGGTTGGCAGCGTAGCGAGATCCCACTGAACCCTTTCGGCCATCAGTGGAGGCCGACACCAGCCAGGAGCAAGCCAGGGGGCACCTGACCGCCCATTCCCTGTGTGAGCGTCGCCTGGAATTCAGGCTGTCAGAGCACCATCAGACAGCGGTATTGGCGGCAACCCCCGCCGCGTGGGATAAAACCGGTGAGTCAAAGGAGAGGAGGGGAAGTGCACGCCAGGCACGGTAGGCACCCAGGTGTGGCAGCTAACCGCTGCAGCATTCGGATGCAAGAGGGGAGGAAAGGAAGTGCACGCCAGGCACACGGTGTGAGAGGAGAGGAGGACAAAGGTAGAACATTTACACGAGCATTTGTTGCTGACTATGCCAATCGTGGCTGTGCCATTTCCGACCGCGCTGACCATGCCAACCATGACTGTGCCAACCCTGACTATGCCAATCCTGACTGTGCCAACTAACGTCCTATGGAAAACGACACGCGCCTATCGACTATGTACCCTATGCGCCGGAGCGCCCCAGGTAGCTGAGGTGAGAGTGCCAGGCCACGTTGCCGCGCTGCTTGTCCAAGTGGTACTGGTTAGCGACGTGCTGCTCGACCCCGTTGAACTGGAGCCCATGCAACTGGACCCTGGTGTGCTCAGCAACGTCGTGCTGCACGACTCTCTGGTGATCGTTGCCGTGCTGTTTGTCGCGGTGGTGCCGGTCAGCGGCGTGCCCCTCGACTCCGTTGTGCTGGAGCCCGTGGTGCACATCAACGTCGCGCTACTAGTCTCATTGTTGCTCGTTGCAGCGCCGTTTGTCTTGGCGGTGCTGGTCGGCGACGTGCTGCTGAGCCCCGTTGTGCTTGGGCCAGTGGTGTTGGGCCTTATTGTGCTCGTCGGTCGTCCCACTTGTACTCGTCGCCGGGCTGCTTGTCTCCGCGGTGCTGGTAAGCGGATGCAGGGGCCGCAGGAGGAGAAGAGCGACTAGCCGTCGCAACCTTGGAAGAAAAACAGGACGGGGAGGTGGGGGCAGCTTGCCACGCTGGGCCGCTTACTCCATGGTACGCGCCGCTTCCCATAACCAGTTGTACGTGCCATCCATACTACCAAAGCGTGGTGAAAACAAGGCACAGTCGCAAGGCCGCGAGGACTTCCCGGTGTGGGGGGGAAGCAACGCGCCAGACTGGCTCCCAGGGCTGTGGTAGGCACGCCAGGCCAAGAGTGGAGATAATAAAGCAACCTCTTCCCGGGGGACAGCGAGGAGACGGTCGCACACCAGGCGCCGAGGGGAGGAGGAGATGGCAAGTGATCGCTGAACCCTTCAGGAATCCAAGGCACACTTAGCCCATGTCCAATTGCACGTGCCACCCACACTCGGCAGCCTGGTGCAAGAAGACACAGCCACAAGGCGGCGAAGGACTTCCCGGCGTGGGGAAGGCAGCGCGCCAGGCTGCCTCGCAGGGCCGCGGTAGGCACTCCAGGCCTAAAGTGGAGCGGGTCAGCGTAGGTGGGAGCCCCAGGGCGCTGCCGCGCCCACGGGAACGTAGACCGACGTCCTCTCGTGACCGTCGCGAGCACGCATGAAAGCGACGATGACGTGCATGGGTGCACTGTAGGGCTGGGCTCTACCTTTGCCAGGCTTCTTGTAGTCGATAATGCGCCACCCCCACTATGCAAGGCAATCCGGGGACGAGCGAATGACGCCCCGAACGTGTGAGGGCCAGTTCGAAATAGTCGTCGCAGTCTGGGTTTCCCCGTGAGCGCTAGGAACCGGCGGAGGACGCCAGGCTCGTGGCGCGCGGGCTCGTAGGTGCCAGGGGCCTCCATCGCCTTGCTGTCGCGACAGAAGTCATGCCACTGGTGTGCCCCCCCCGTCCTTTGCCACGCCTTGACCCGCTCCACGAGGGCCGGCGGGTCGTCCACGAGCGCCCCGGCCCCCGAGGCAGACTCGTCAGGCGACTGCTCCGCTGCTTGGCCCGCGTCCAGCTCTGCGCTCGTACGAGAACTTCTCGCATCGGGGGCGAAGGCATAGTAAGCGATGCGTCCAGGCCCGCCCCGTCTCCACGGGCAGGCGGCACGCACGGGGACGAGTCAGCGTTGACGGTCGTAGCGGTGGCAGTGGTGATCGTCGGGGTCGACGTGGTCCTCGGCTGGGCCAGCGCAGTTCGGACACTGGGTCGCCATCGGCCGGAAGAGTCAGCGGCGGGTGACGGCTGGGGGCCCCAGTCGCCCTGTGGCTCCGCACGTTCCGTCGAAGGCGACGCCAGTGCAGGGGTGATCTCTTGGGCAAAGCCCGCCCGCCGAGGCGGCGTGTCCGCGTTTGCAGCGGGCGGGGCCTGCATCGGACTGGTCGCGCGCTCGGGTACGGGGGGCCCTGGTGGACGTGGGGAGGAGGGACGCAGAGCAGCGAATCGCCCGCTGTCCACCATTCGCCGGACTGCGGCCTCGTCCTCCAAGGTCCCGTTGTCTCTTCCCACCGTAATACCCAGCTCGTCCTCGGGATACACGAAGCGTGAAAACCATTTAACAAGTTATACATGTATCTACGAAAATGTATTCATGCCCATGTATCCACCGATCAATGTGCCTCTACTGTCTTCCCACATACGTACATCGATCGTTATGTCCCGCCTCGGTCTTGCCCCCGAGCCTCCGATTTTGCTTCGAGCGATCCCCGACCGCGAACGCGAGGCGGGACACCCAGGGAGCCCCAGACCCTTTTT